GAAGAATGACAAAATAGCTGATTAGGTGAAAGGACACCCAGGATGTCAGAAAAGCTTGGGAAGGCAATGACTTAAAGAAGAGGGAGTGATCCACTGTGACAACACTCCTTAAAGGTCAAACATGATAAGAACTGAATAAGGACCACTGGATGTAATACATAATCACAAGAGTTTTACTAGCATCACAGGGTTAATTGGGGAAGAAATAAATTGGAAGTCATCATATACACACCAGTCTGAAAGTTTGCATGCTATATGATCCCCAACTATGTGGCATTCTGGAAAATGTAAAACTGTAAAGATGGTACAAAGATCAGTGGCTGCCAGGGATTGGACAGGAAACGGAAGAAAGGGGGATAAATAAGTGGAGTACAGGTAATTTTTCAGACAAAACGTTCTGTAGCATACCATAATGGTGACAAACATTTGTTAAAATAGATAATGTTTGTAAAAGTCCACAAAACTGCGCAACACAGAGTGAACCCAAATGTAAATTATAGGCTTTATTTAATAATAAAATACTAATGTTTATCAGTGATAAAAAATATATTACATTAATGTAAGATGTTCCTAGTAAAGGAAACGTGCTTGTGTGTGTTTGTGTATGGAAGCAGACTGAAAAAAGAGAGCATAAATGAATTCTATTTTCTCCTTAGTTTTTGTGCAAACCTAAAATTACTATCTTAAGAAGTTAACTAACATCTTAAAAGTATAAATAGCTCTTGAGGAACTTTGCTGTAGAAAGATGGAAGAAAATGAGTGACACTTGGGGAAAACTGGCAAATGTGCCTTATTTAGAATGAAGGAAATGTGATTATATGCCAAGGGAAGGTATATTCAGGGAGAATGCTGAGGTAGAAAATGAAAATGAGGGAGGATAAAATCAGTGGTACAGGAAAGAGAAAGGAAGATTACCAGAGTTATTGAGTTCAGTAGGAAAGGGGGATGGAAAGTGCACAGTAGAAGAGGTGACTACTTTCGGTGTGATATCAGGTCAGCCAGCTTCAGGAGAGACAAAGGGAACTTGGTCACAGAAGCAAGCATATGGGAGATGTTGTGGTAAAACCTTGTGGGGTTCTCTTCTCCTCTTCTCAGTAAAACAGGAATCAAGATGATAAACTGAGAGTAAGGATAGGGAAGTGTTACCATGAGGATTGAGAGTGTGAATATTTTTATCATGTACATGATTTATATCCGTAAATATTTAATCATTGATTAATATTAAGAATAAAATATGTTTTAAGTCAAAGCTAGATTCTCTTGCATTTGGGGTCCCAGATATGTCTTGAGTGTTGCCTGTTCAACATACTTAGGCCAGATTCGAATTTGGAGAAAGTTGCTTACAAAAGCAGTATCAGGAGTGGCTTCTGTTTCACTAGGGCAGATCTGACAGTTGGTGGAGATTCTGAATCATCTTGATCCCAGGCTAAAGTGGGGGGGTTCTTCAGATGGGAGATGGGAAAGATTGCAGCTAAGACTTCCCCTTGACAACCTAGGTCTCTTTTGATAAAGTTAACTTCCATTTTTTGATGCCCAGCCAATAGTCTACTCTTTCCACCTGTTTGGTGACCAATGAATTATCTATATTGTCATGTTTTTCTTCAAAATAACTATCATGGTTTCTGCTATCTGACACAGAATCTTGACTGTCCTGGCAATAAATTGTTATCATTATAGCAAGGTACAATCAATCTAGGATTTATCCAATAAATACCTACTACTTAGAAAAATGTTTCAAAGAATAAACATAGAACTCTAGAAAAAATAGAAAGGAAAATATTTTTATTATTCTTTTCTAATGAAAATAACCAGCTTTTTGCCTTTCTCTATCTTATGGAACAAAATATAGAAGTTAAAAATCTTTTAAAATATAAATTTTTCCTAATTATTTTCCAACTCTGATATCTGCTCAGAATCTTGAATTTACACCCCTAGGTCATTTGGAACTTGCAATAGAAAAATCATTCTGTTGCCTAAAGACTTAAAATGATTTCTTACTGTAATTACAATAAAATTACAATTCTTTACAGTCATTTTTGTAGAACACGTATTATTTGGACACTAGCAGTATTTCCAACTTTAATCATTTTCATATTATTATATATACAAATATATATATTTATTTTCATACTGTTTAATATATTTATACAAATATAAATATAAAATAAATATGGTTTAATATGTTACTGTATTCCAGCCAACTTCAATTCTGCTGTGTTCCTCAAGTATACAAACTTTACTATCATTTTCAGCTTTTCTCATTATCTGTTCCATTTGTCTAGATTGCTCATGGTTGGTTTCTTTAGTTTACCCAATGTTAACCAAATTGTCATCTCCTAAGAAAGCTTTGTTTGGCAATGAAAAATGGATTAATTACTCACAACTAGAGGCACAATCTATTGTTTCATTTTTTCTTTTAGTTAGTTTAGAAAACTATCTTCCAGAAACAATGTTAATTTTCTGTCTTAATGATTATCTTCTCTCCATAATGTCCAACATAGCAATAACTGTACCTGCCTTATTGATAATTCTGTCTTCATTGTCTAAAATACTCCTGACTACTTCCAGAAGCCCCAGGAAGCACAGGAGGTTCATTAAACCACTGTTGAAGACCATCAGGAGTTCCACCACAAAGGTGTCTGTGCAAGCCACCTTGACGACCTGTTGCATATCACAGAAGAAATTGTCCAGCTGGTTTGGACCACAGAAAGGCAAACGCAGTATGAGGGCCACCTGAGTAATGGAATGGGCAAAGCCTCCAAGCCACAGAGCCAACAGCATTACATTACAGGCTCTGGAGCTCATGACAGTTGAATAGTGTAAAGGCCGGCAGATAGCGATGTAGCGGTCAAAGGCCATCACAACAAGAAGTAAGCCTTCCCCTCCTCCAAGGAAGTGCAAGAAAAACAACTGGGTGATGCAGCCTCTGTAGGAGATGACCTTCTTCTCAGACAGGAAGTCCATCAGCATCCTGGGAGCCACGATGAAGGAGTAGGATGCATCCAGGAAGGCCAAGTTCCCCAGGAAGAAATAGAGGGGGGCTGTGAGACCAGGGTCTGACCTTATGGTGAGGATGATGAAGAAATTCCCAGGGAGGATGATGAGGTAGAAAACTGAGATCAGCACAAAGACCAGGAGCTGAATCTCTCGAGACTGGGTCAGACCAAGGAGGATGAACTCTGTCACCACTGTGTTGTCTGACTCTCCATCAAACACACCTGTAGTATATCAGGGAGCAGAGTCTCCTATAACTACTATGTATGCCATCTCTATGCTAGTTTTTTCACCAGCTAAAAGTATTTGACACATTCTTATTTCAGCTAAAATACTTCTGAAGCCTTTCCAATGTCCTGTGTAATATCACTTCCCTTCATACTCCAAATTTAAAATAGGAAATAAAGACAAATACTGTTCTCAAAGCACAAACCTTATTCTCATTCAACAAAGTGCTTCTCCACTTTAGAAGTCTGGCATCCTCAATTTGTGAATCCTACCGTCTTGTATCACATGAAAACTTTCATCATCAAGATGGAACACAACTTCAGTTACCAAGATCTCTGAATTGTTGGAGATGTATTATGATGCATGAAGCTTAGCTTCTTCTTTGGTGATCATACCTTTCTTGTCCTCATCTGTGTAGCACAAAACTTTTACTAGCTATCTGCTCCCTTCAGTTTCCATAGAATGGCCACTTCATAGCTGATAACTTGTTGCTTTGCCTTCTTTCTTCTCTTATCAATTTGCATCTTATCATTGACCCTCTAGTCTGGTATTCTATAGCATACTCTGAGTCAAACTGTTTACCACGATCCCAAACAATAACTTCAATTTTCACCTTAGTGATACTCCCCTCTCAATTCCAGTGACACTACTCCTGTGGCTACTCCACATCTTGTTCATGGGCCTTAATGAGTTTGGTTCAAATCTCAAATACTTATATTTTACAACCCACCTCTTTATCTATAACACACACTAATTTTATTAATATACTTATTATATTATTGTCTATCTTAATTCACAAAATTATAGTGTAGAAAACTGAGTAATCATAAAACACTCTAATCCAATTCCTTGATTCCAAAGATGAAAAAATAAAACTTCCTTGATTATGTTATTTAATCACAGAATGACTTTTAGTTTTTTCTCTAATTGACAAATAATAGAAGAATGAACATGTATCCTGCTCAGCTTAAATAAAGACAATTTTATTAACAGCTTTAATCAATGGACGTGCTTTTCCATGTACTTGAATAATTAAAAATAATATTGCTAGTCTACTTTAGCATCTATATTTTAGAGTTAGAAGTTCAAACCTATATAAATTTTAAAAGTCATGCATTGTAGATAAAATTCAGATTTAAAACTTAATCTGTTTAGTGGTGTATGTTCATTCCAAAAGATGTACATGATGATCTATTAGAGGTATAGAAATAAAATAGTGCTTTATATACATTTGTTGTGTATGTATCATTATGTATGTAATATATATACATACAGTATTATATGTAACAATAAATAACATATAGCATCACTGAAATAATTTTTAAAATTCACTTCTTAGTTCTTGTCATGTAAAATATGTTGCCGCAATGGTATATATCCAGATATATGCTCAAAAATATTTTATTATAGGGATGCATTGTTTTTTAAATTTTGAAAATTGTTGGTCTACAGCAAAGTATAACACTATGTAATAAATAACATCTCTTATGCCACTTTAGTAAAATAGCACATTTGTTTTAAGTAAAGTGCTGCAGAATATGAGGAGCATAGAGGAGAGAAAACTTTGGACAGAAAATGCGTTCAAGGGGCTCTGAATACAGATCGTTAGTGCAGGCCTTGCATAGCAACTACGAGGCTCTCAGTTCCATTCCTAGCACTGCAAAAATAGCAAAAAGAAAAAAGAGGGGGTGGGGGGAGGAGAAGGAAGGTCAGGGCAAAGGAAGCAAGAGGAAAGAAATAGAAAAGAAAAACTAGCAATAATTTATACTTGTATCTTAGGATACAAGTTTTAAGAAGCCTTGAAAGCAACTCAGTGGCTTCCTGGTATCCAAACTGGTCAGGCCAGTCCTATAGCTCAGTGTTCAGAGAGCCAAAGTCTTGTTTATTTATATCTGAAATATTTTCTAACGCCTCTTTCCTTCTTTTCTCACTTTTCTTTCTCTCCCTTTGCATTTATGAACAAGTTGCTTATCACTGATTTGCTTAATTTATATTTCTAAATCTTTTTCCTTGTTAGTTTATTGCCTTTCCCTCCTCCTTCCCTCATTTTCTTTCCCAATTTATTTTGCTTCTTTAATTCTTCTTCTTTATAATTTTCTTTTTCCCCTAAAATTCATCCATGTTCTTTTACTCTGAAATTAATGTAACTCATCCTTCCATGTTAACCATTTATTTTTTTATGGTATTTTCACAGTTTACAAAATCTGAGCCTCTCATTCAATTATATAACTTTTTTACAAGTAAAACTGACTTTTAAAAAACTTTTTAAAAGATATAATATATCTGTTTTTAAAAAATAAATCTCATTAATATCATCCTAATAAAATAAACATATTGAAAAAAATCCAAAAAATAGGGGTGAAATTGTCAGCACACTGATTGAAATTTGCAAGTTATTTAATTATAAAATTATATAATACATTGTAAAATGTGTGAATCAGGCTGAAAAATGTGAGCACATATTCAATTAACACTAATGATCATAAGGAATGCATAAAACAATAGTAAGTATATAGTCACTCAAAAATTTCATTATTGAAATGGAATGGTCAGATTAAGTCATCTCTACATTTCCACTGTATGACAAGTTTTTAGACAATGGAACAATGAAGAAAGGTCCCCATTATTTTGAATCCTTTATCTCTTTCTCTGATTTTTTTTTTTCCTCCACAATTCACTTTCTATGTGGTCCTTGAGAAAGCATTTAGCCATCAGAAACTCGGGCTTTCTTCTATCAAATAGAGAACTGTATTGAGTATTAATATGTAACTATTAATATGTAACTCATTCAAGTATCCCTTGAACCAAGGTTGAGCTTGAAAGTATTTAGATGTTAACGAATAACTGAACATTATGGACACAATGCCACGTCATCTTTTATAGGTGTCTTTGGGAATACGCTGGGGTGATAGTAGCTGAAAATTTTGAAGAATTAACAAAGACAAGTTTTGAAGGTTCAGTAAAGCTTCCAGAGAAATTGCTAGTATAGCCAGTGGTTTACATATCTCAGTTGAAAAACTGTCTCTCTTTTAGTTTTGTGGGTGAATAATAGGACCACCCACAAGAAAAGAAACATTCTATCTGTTCAGTATAGAATTGAAGTGGTCAAGATTCTGTATCTGCTTTCTGGAAGCATAAAATCTGCCAAGTTTTTATCTGCAGCCCCTAGCCTAGCCTTCTGTATATTCCTTCCTGTTCTTCTGTACCTCATAAGAAAAATAACACATTTCAGTCATTTATATGATCCTTAACACCAGACATCAACTCTTCAATCCTATTATTAATGTCAATCATGATAACTGAATTAAATATTTTTTCACAATTAAAGTAATCCTAAACAATCCATAGGAGGAACAGATAGAAAGCACTAAACTGATGAACTTAGACCTTAGCCTTTGCTTATTCCTCCTGGAAATATGACCCTTAGTTCATTGCACTCCAAAGCAACAGATGGAATAGAAGACCAATTACAGTGATTTTTTTGTCCCTTCCTTCCCGTTTCTTGCAAATATGAAGATTGTCCAGAAATTTGGGCATCCAAGTGTCTTGAGTTATTTTCAGAAAGCACCCACCCTCCTACTCCTCCTCCTAAGATCTTAACTGACTACTCTTGACATTATTCATAAATATTTGTTGTCACATAGGAAATCTTTGATTTTAAATATTTCCTATTTGTATTGTATCGAAGAAAGTACTTGTGGGATTTGAGACAACCTCAACCCACTGAATGTATCAAAGGGACTTATTAGACTGACTATATTTATTATCAACTAAATTAGGCAAAGGGAAACAGCAGAACTTTGAAAGGATTAAATATTTTTAAATGCATTACATTACACACTGAGTTAATTCTGAGTTCTAAAACTAAAATTCTATTATTGACTAAGATGAAACACTATTGGGAAGAAAATTTCTCAGTTCAGAAGTAAATAGAAGCTTGAGAGAAGTTAATTTATATATTACAATAAAAAGGGAAATGGTTAAACAAATAAAAATAGATTGTTGATATATGTAAAGGTGGGCTAGATGAAAAAATGAACAGACTGAAATTTTTCAATAAAGACTTTACCATTATATTGATTTTTCTCATTGCTTTGGTTTCTAATATGGCCCAGCTTGGCACTGATCCTGCTCTGTTTAAAATGTAGTACTTTGTTCATAGAGATTTTAACATTATTTTTGATTTTTCAAAGTATTGATTAAAATATTGAATAACACTGTTTTGTATCTTTTTGGTATCCCTTTAAATTTTGCCTCAAGATGATTGTCTTTCTCAGATGTAGTATATTTCTGATGACAAGGACACAACCAGAGAGAATATTTTAAAAACTCATGAAGACTTTCAAGGCATAACTCTTCTTAGAGCGAATAACTTCTTAGTGTAAGATACAGCAATTTCTCAGGAGAAGGTGACCCTCTTAATGGGATATGAACGGATGTATCATGAGCACAGTATTTAAACCAGAGCTAGAGGAGACTGCTACATAATTGGGAAAAAGTTGATTGCATACAAAAGTGTAAGAAAGATGTTAAGTTTTCTACCTAAGACCCACAGAAAAGTGGTATAATAAGGCTACAGCAGTCTTGAGGTTTCTTTCGAGATGAGGGAACATTGTACTTGTGGACAAGGATGTGGACCACATTGAGGGAGAAAATAAAGCTAAGATATAGTTCAGATTTGAAAGAGCAATCTAGTAGTGGCCATTACACCCCTCAAACACTGCACAGCACTCCTTCTCAGGGGCTGGGTGACATGCAAAAAAAGACTAATTCTAGCTGGCATTCTCCCATCCACATCTCTTTCTTCATATGATCTTTGTACTTCCATACATGAAGTATTACTTACTCAGCCTACTCCATTATAAGAACTTGTCTTACTTATTCTGAGTAGTTTAAGAAGTGAAAGTCTCAGGGGATAAGATTCTGTTTCGTGGGTGCCTGACAAGTGCATGTGGAATTAATTTGATGATGAAATATAACTTGATCTTTGTGTAGAAAGGTAGGAAAATTCTGGGGAAGAGAAAATGGACATGATGGAGACATAGTAAAGAGCTCTAATCAGAAGGCAGGATCAAAGGTGTGCCAACAAGCAAAATGTAATGCATGTCCCAAGACCTACACAGAGTTTAGATTCACTAGGAAGAATTTTGCTTGGTTAGTGGTGGTGATAAAGGTGAAATATTGATATTAGGTAATAGTATTACCATATAGCACATTTGGCTTCTGTTTTATAGGCAAAGAGAAACACTTAAAAATTAGGTGGCAAAGGAAAGGTTTGTTTAGGAAACACTTTGTAAATATTCATTTTGTAGCACAATAGAGTAAAAAAACTTGTGAAATTAACAGTCTTCTGCCATGCTAGATGATAAGAAAGGTTGAACTAGAATGGCAAAAGTAGGCACCAGAAAAATGTCCTAAAGTTATAAAAGAATTTGTCTATCCAGTCCAGGGATGGACAGACAAAAATAAAGTTGAGAGCAAGTGCTAGATTTTTAGGAAAAATGCTGTGTAGAGGCAGACACATCAAGAAAGTCATTTGTTCTCAGTGTTTTACTAAGATTAGTCCATAGACTAATATTAATCTTGATGTTCCTCTAACACATAGAGAAAAGTGTTATAGATGTTACTCTCTTGCTTAAAATATTAAATTGTTACTAAAATTAAAATATAATAAATACCTTTATTTAGCATAAGAGACTTTAGTGATTCAACCCTTACATGTTAAATTAAATTTCACCCCTAAGCCTCACACACATATTCATTGTACTTCAACTACTCTGGACTTTTTTTTCTGTACTTAAAATATACGAAATTCTTTTTCTTATTAGAATAATTGTCCCCTCATTGCCTACGATAGTATCTGACAAAGGAGAAGTACTCAGTGAAGAAATAGCATTTGTTAAATAAATGAATGAATTCCAGTCAGAACTCTCTTGTCCTAACGTTTCGTTATAATATTCATTAACAAACTATATGCTGAATCAATAATTTTTTCATGGAACTTTTTACTTCTTTGTTGCGAAGGGTATAAATCACAGGATTCATCAGTGGAAAGATGACAGTATGGAAAAAAGAGACCACCTTGTCAGCTGGCAAGGCCCTGAATGGACGAGTGTAGATGAAAATCGCAGGTCCAAACATAAGAAGTATAATAATAACGTGAGTGGTGCATGTGGACATGGCTTTGTTCTTCCCCTCAGAAGAAGACCTATGAACATGACAGAAAATGACAGCATAGGAGGCCAGAAGGCCCAGGAAGCACAGGAGGGTCATTAAACCACTGTTGAAGACCATCAGGAGTTCCACCACAAAGGTGTCTGTGCAAGCCAGCTTGACGACCTGTGGCACATCACAGAAGAAGTTGTCCAGCTGGTTTGGACCACAGAAAGGCAAACGCAGTATGAGGGCCACCTGAGTAATGGAATGGGCAAAGCCTCCAAGCCACAGAACCAACAGCATTACATTACAGGCTCTGGGGCTCATGACAGTTGAATAGTGTAAAGGCCGGCAGATGGCGATGTAGCGGTCAAAGGCCATCACAACAAGAAGTAAGCCTTCCCCTCCTCCAAGGAAGTGCAAGAAAAACAACTGGGTGATGCAGCCTCTGTAGGAGATGACCTTCTTCTCAGACAGGAAGTCCACCAGCATCCTGGGAGCCACGATGAAGGAGTAGGATGCATCCAGGAAGGCCAAGTTCCCCAGGAAGAAATAGAGGGGGGCTGTGAGACCAGGGTCTGACCTTATGGTGAGGATGATGAAGAAATTCCCAGGGAGGATGATGAGGTAGAAAACTGAGATCAGCACAAAGACCAGGAGCTGAATCTCTCGAGACTGGGTCAGACCAAGGAGGATGAACTCTGTCACCACTGTGTTGTTGTTTATCTCCATCTCCTGTCCCTATAGCCTGTCAGGGATCAGAGACTTGATTTCCACCTCTCACATCTAGATCATGGATCTTCTGAAGCTAAAGGCAAATGTACCACATCTGTATTCCACCATTGTTCTTCATAACTGCCAACAACAAAAAGCCATACCCCGTCTTTTGCTTAGATCCTGTACTTCATTCAACTATTCTCTCACATAGATGGGATGTGATTGCCCCAAATTTATTCCCAATTTATATGACAAATATGAAATGTTTTATGATTGAGAAAAAGCTTTCCCCAGATATGGAATTCCTCAGATTGGTTGTGGATTGACAGCAAAGAACAAAGACAGAGCTTGTAGAGGTGAAAGAAATGATCCATACTTAACATGGTTTAACATGTGTATGTATTTACTAAAATTATTGAATGTATATCAATTGACACATATTTATTACATGTAAATTATACCTAACTCTAACCTAAAAAGTTAAAAATAAGAACTACACATTATGGAAATATATTCTTTTTCTCTATAGAATATCAAGACATAAACCTGGTGTAAACAAACAGAACTCTTGGTCACTTTAAAAGAAGATCAGAAGCTTATCTCTATAGTAATTTCAAAATACAGAATGTGTCAACCAGAGGGTATGAACATGATAATTTATAGACACGAAAACAATAAAGTAGAATTTTCGTAATTACTGTCTATTACTGTATTCTGTTTTTTGAAACTCTGTTTTTGAGTTTTGTAGTTTATATAAAATCATGCTAGAGTTGAATATGAAGTACACAAATAAAAGATACATATATATTGCTAATATATATTGCTGGTACATGCTCAAAGTGATTTATGGAAGAGTTGAAAAATTTTAAAAGCTGAAAATTTTGAGATAGAGGAAAATATTACAGTCTGATATAGAACAACATTTCACATACTTTTAGTTACATTGAACAAGTTTTTAAATATTATTATTGAATGTAAAGCACAGAATAGCAAGAAAGAGAAATTCTTTGGCTTTGACTAAAGGGAGAGAAAATGAAGGCATACAAAAAGGAGAAAGAATCAACAAAGTCTCAAATTTTAAAAAATGAAAGTATTTAAATAGCATTTCTATTTGAAACATCAAAAGATTCAACTTTGTACATATAATCCTAATAGATTAATTAATACCACAGATTTCTATATACGATTAAAATTTAGAATTTTGAAAAAGCATATTGCATAACATATATGTACACATATGTACACATGAAACACATACCTGAGCAAAGTACAAGAGGACATCGTACCCCAAGCAAAAGCAATGTACAGAAATCTACATTTGCACCATCAAAACTGGCTTATTACTCCTCACTTTCTTTCTGTCTGCCTATCTGTCTTTCTTTTTCTGTTTCTTGCTCTTTTTCTTTTATTTTTATCTTGTACTTAGCCATTTGTGGTCCTTAATATTTATTACTCCTGTGCATGAAATCCATTAGAAAAATAAATTAAGACTCTCTACTTACTCTTCAGTTGTGTGCATCTTTCACATTATTATGCAGTTGTTTTTTTTCTAATTTTTCCAGAAATAAAAGATGCATGTAGGCCATAAAAGAAATGTGTAAGAGTCTGGGTGTTGCAGGCTCAATCACTGTGCCTTTTGTGTTTCATTCCCTTTCATCCATTTCTCTTCTCCAATGCCTCTTTATTGTATGGCATTCATTCCTATCTGTTATTTTTGATGCACTGTCCACCGTTTTTTTCCCTCTCTATGCTCCTTTGTGGCGCCTTGGATTCTCACATCATGCTCACGTACACAGGTGTTCATAGGATAGGATGAACATTTCTCAGGAAAAGGAAGTACCTGCAAAACAAAAGCACAGAAATTCCTGCAAACACAAGTTTTCTGTTCTAACTGTATGAAGAGAAGTTCTGCTACTAGTGGCAGTTGGAATAGAAACTTAGGAACTGGAATCCTTGCCGTTACCTGCACATCCTATTTCCAGTTCAGCTCACCCAAAACGCACGAGGTGCAGTTAGTACAGAGGCAGAGCAGGGAGCATAAGGAGTGGTGGTGCAGGCAGACATCCTACTACACCCTTCATGCTAGAGGCAGGGTTTTGTTGGAAATTCACGGAGTGCGTACTTGAAGTTTTGTTCCCCATCAGCAGGTATTCATTTTCCCATATTTCTTTATATTCCTCCTGCCTCCTCTTAAAATACAGGGATTTCTCTTATTATCTTCAACCCCCTTCTGAATAAATATCTAATTTCTGTACTTTTTCTGAAGTTACACTTTTATATTTGAATCGGCTTTCATCTCCCTTTACCTTTTCTCTCTCATAGTTGTTCCCTAACTGCATTTCCCTTCACTCTCTCTTACTTGCATTCTTTCGTCTTCTTTTATTTTCCGTATTTTTTAGTTTTCAATGCTCTTTTCATCCTCTTCTTTTCAGTGTTCTTTTTTATTAGTCCCCACTATTGCCTTTCCATTAATACTGAAGAAGCCTCACTATTGTTTTCTGTTTAAACAAGATTAAAAAATAGTGAAATTATTTCACTTCAAATATTTTGATAATTATTCAATTGATGTTTCAATATTAAATAATTTTCCTTGAATGATAGTCTTCAAATGTACTCTAAACACTTCAAATTATTTCCCATTCCTCAGATTAGATTTGCCAGGCGTGGTGGCATACACCTGTAATCCCAGCACTCGGGAGGCTGAGGCAGGCGGATCGCTGTGAGTTCGAGACCAGCCTGGGATACGTAGTGAGTTCCAGGTCAGTCTCAACTACATAGTGAAAGCCTGTCTCAAAAAACAAATAAACAAACAAAAAATAAAATAATAAAATAATAGATCAGTTACCTTTACACTTGAATGAAATTTCTCATTAAATAACCTTGCCAAAAAAGACAGGTTTTACAAACTTTCAAAAACAGTAATGTGATATGTTATTTAGTTTGTAACTCATTAGCAGATAGAATAACCAGCTTCAGAGTGTCCTGAGAAATGCTGATGTAGTTAAAGAACAATATCAAATACTTGCCTTATACCAACGGTGATGGCTCTAATAAGCACTATCGAAGTGCATGGAATTATTAGCCCCTAAAGCTCTTCAGTGCCATGATTTACAATGCCAAGTAATGAATGCCATAGAAGAAATTCTAGGTTGGGCATTTCTTTATCTTGGCTTACATTCTTGGCTCAGGAAAATTTTAATTACAACCACATTATCTTCTTCACCCTGGGATTTTTCCCCTGTGTGATTTTAAAATTTAATAAGATGAGAATGATATTACTATGGGGCATGTTCAAGTTCAATTAAAACAAAACTAAACCAGGAAAAATACATCTGTTGAGAAGTGTGTTTGTTTCTAAGAAATAAATGTACAATACAGATTCTCTATCCCTGCTTTTGGAGTGAATCTCTGGGATAATGATAACTGCTTAAATCTGAGAGATTATAAAATAAACATTTATGGAAATTTCACTTGAGCCAGCTGTAAAAGTCCTAGATTGGTGTGTGCTAGCTCTGTCTGCCAAAGGAGACACTCACCATTGCTGAGTACAGGAACCAAGTCAGAGCTAGTCTTATGCAGAATCATGAAATTTTTGAAGGCTTTCTCTGCTGCCTTCAGCATAACATTTCTGCACTGATTAGAATTATTTTCCCTCACTTGTTTCAGTTAATATATTGTATCTAAATTTAGGACTAAGTGTTAATATTCCCCAAATTAATAATATTTTTTAAAATACCATATATCCCCTATAAAGTAATTTTAAATATCCCAAGGAGCTCCAGATATATTATTGAGAATAAGTAAAACACTGCTGTTGTTACTGGTTTCTGATCTTACATGTTAGTCTATTTCTGCAATAATCATTTATCTTTTCATTTCAAGGCAGCTGAGGTCCCATCTGAAAAGTTCCAATATCTGTTTCCATCTCTTTCTTATTCCTTATACTTATGAAGAAGCACAAAGACATTTACCTCTCTTAACAACCCCACACTACTCACATGTCAGATATCACTTCCTTCTAATGGAAAAGTTAATGACTGAGGTTTGCACATTTGTTCTTAAGTAGCTGTTCTCACAGAGTAGCCTCTTAGTCTATGATATACCCAACTAATTTATGATGCCATACAAAATGTCCCTTGGGAATATGAAGGCTAAAAATTTCGCAGAAAACTTTCAATGGGAATTGTTAAGATGCCAACAACACACAGTCAAAGAATGAAACTATGGATATGCTAGATAGAAGTACTCAAATGTCAGTAAAGAGACACTGCCACTGAGTACTAAAATCAAGATTCCATCAGAGCCAGAGATTCTAGGATGACAACATTTTTAAATCTACATAGATAGAAAGCCACATAGGTTATTTCTTACATTGAAATTTTAAAAGAGAAAAAAATGCATGACTGATAAATTTCTGATATAAAGAGAAAAGGAGTTATGTGGTCAAGTAGACAGTAGAGTTGACAAGAAATAGGCAAAAAGGAAAATAGCACTATTTACATAGACTCTTGTGAGTAATCCTTCTTCAAGAAGATAACTGTTTGCTGTAGAATGAATTCCTTAAGGGGAAGTGTCCTTTTAAATACATCACATCGTGGTCTTGGAATTTGTTGTTTTCATTTTAAGAATAAGCATCTCCTGCACTTTGCCAAAGTGGTTAGAAACTGTTTTTTTTTAAAGTAAACATTATTAAGCAGAAAAGTAGTTGAGAATAATAAAAGCAGAATAAGCTTTAGTGGATACTGTATGGTTTTTATTTTAAATAGAGATATTTAAAATTTTGAATTCTAAACATAATTTTTAAAGTAAATACAATGCATACTCAAACACATTTTGCTCAAGTTCAGAAAAAAGTGGGAGGAGTATAACATGGGGGAAAAAAGAGAGCAAGATGCATTATGTTACAAAAATATAAAGAGACCTCCAGTCTAAGCTCTTTGAGGTATCTCCATATTGATTTCCATAGTGGTTGCACCAGTCTGCACTCCCACCAACAATGGAGAAGGGTTCCTTTC